TGATTATGGGCCCAGTTTTCAAGTTGGTCCAAATCGGGGTCCAAAATTAAACTTTGTTTGATTTCAACAAAAATTGAATATATGGGGTTCTTTGATATGCTGAATCTAACCATGTATTTAGATTTTTGATTTTTGGGCCCCGTTATCAACTTTGTCCACATTGAGGTCAAAAGGGTCCAAAATTTAACTTTGTTTGATTTCTTCAAAAATTGAATTATTGGGGTTCTTTGATATGCCGAATCTAACCATGTATTTAGATTCTTAATTTTTGGTTCCGTTTTCAAATTGGTCTACATTAAGGTCCAAAGGGTCCAAAATTAAACTTAGTTTGATTTTAACAAAAATTGAATTTTTAGGGTTCTTTGATATGCTGAATCTAAACATGTATTTAGATTTTTGATTATGGGCCCAGTTTTCAAGTTGGTCCAAATCGGGGTCCAAAATTAAACTTTGTTTGATTTCATCAAAAATTGAATTCTTGGGGTTCTTTGATATGCTGAATCTAACCATGTATTTAGATTTTGGATATTGGACCATAATAGGTGAATGTCCAATTTAAAATTTTTAAGTTCTTAGACCACATTCATTCTGTGTCAGAAACCTATGCTGTGTCAAATATTTAATCACAATCCAAATTCAGAGCTGTATCAAGCTTGAATGTTGTGTCCATACTTGCCCCAACTGTTCAGGGTTCGACCTCTGTGGTCGTATCAAGCTGCGCCCTGCGGAGCATTTTATTGGCTCATATCTCTGAAACCAAAGCATTAAGAGCAAATCTGATGAGGATAAAATTGTTCATTAGGTCAAGATCTATCTGCCCTGAAATTTTCAGACCAATCAGGCAACCTGTTGTTGGGTTGCTGCCCCTGAATTGGTAATTTTAAGAAAATTTTGCAGCTTTTGGTTATTATCTTGAATATTGTTATAGATAGAGATAAACTGTTAACAGCAATAATGTACAGCAAAGTTAGATCTACAAATAAGGCAACATGACCAAAATTGTCAATTGACCCCTTAAGGAGTTATTGCCCTTTATAGTCAATTTTTTACAATTTTCATAAATTTTGTAAATTTTTGTAAATTTTTACAAAGTATTTTCCACTGTAACTACCGGGCCAAGTTCATTATAGATAGAGATAATAGTAAGGAGCAAGAATGTTCAGTAAAGTAAGATCTACAAACACATCACGATCACCAAAACACAATTTTGTCATGAATCCATCTGTGTCCTTTGTTTAATATGCACATAGACCAAGGTGAGCGACACAGGCTCTTTAGAGCCTCTAGTTTTAAATTGATATGGTATTTTGAAAATTGTATACAAATTGGATAGTTAGTTAATATTTTTTTGATTGTTAACACTAGTTTGAATAAATCTTTATGTGTTATGGTCACAAAAGGGGAAAAAAGTGGTGACCCTCTATTATTTAATAGAAAAAAGACTCATGAAGAGATACATTAAACTGTTTCAAATTTAAGATGACCTCAGATTTCAGAAAAATATAAACTAAGTTCATTTAATAGTATGGTTAATATTTCTTCATATGTTTTATGACTTGCATGAATATTGTTAGCACTTCTTAAGCCTCTATGAAAGGCTGGCTGATATAGTATGCTATTATTTATGTCTTGAGATAATTTAATTGTGATATTGTATCTGAGGCTGCACATATAAAATCAAATCCATACATGTATATTCATACTGGTTTTAAAATTAATAAAATGTATGTTTCTGATACACACATAAATATATATATATGTGGAATTAACTAGCACATTTTGAATTTTGTATTTATACACCAAAGTCTATTCTTTGATTTCCAGACATAAACATGCAAATATTAAAATAGAAAAAGAACCTAAATCAATTTTGATTGTCTTTAAGTTTTAGAGGGGTAAGGACTTTTATATAGTTTTTTTAGATGGGCAAGGACTTTTTTGCAGAATTTAAAAGGATGGGCATGAACTTTTTTAATGAAATAATATTAGGAATGCACCGGCCCATCCATCTGGTAAATATTGAACGGTCCCTGAAACAATAGTGGGTCTCATTGGGGTCTAAACGTGACGCGGGATTGCCGATTGTTTGTAAGCGTGACACGTGAAAGTCAAATTATTGTGCCGTGAAAACGTCAAATGAAGTCTGGCGGGACACGGGAAATTACAAAAAAAAGAGAATTGCTTACGTACATAGTGTAAGCGGGATATGGGAATCTGACAAAACAGTAAGCGGGATCCGGGATCAGAACCCCCCAAATGAGACCTCCACAATAGTGTAACATCACAACATAGAAACACACTATAAAATGTCAATTGAAATGGTTAAACTCAATCAAAAGACATATCAACAAAAACAAGTGAACATACACTGAACAAATAAATTTGATCTATGACACAATGTAAATACAAAATTAATAAAACAAGGGGGTTAGATGTAAAACAATATCAGAAAGACAAATGTAACCTAGGACAAAATGCCGCCAAATAAAATAACGTACACAGGAAAATAAAAATAATTTTGTTGTAAGTTATACATAAGGTTCATTTTACTATCACTGATATTTCAATATGAACTAACTAAGCCCACTCAGCCTTGTTTGCATGGCCAACCGTCCTTAATAGGGTTAGTTTTCATCATACATTCCTTATCAATTTTGCAGAATTCAAAACTATAATTCCAGATTCCAATAATTCCTTGTTTGCAGGCTTATATAGGCAGTAAAGATTCCAAAATAATCATTTTTGCCTTCCTAAAACTTGATGATGTTGATGGATAATTGCTTAGCGTCTAGTGGCAAATTAAAATGCATTTTCAGGAAAAGAACATGTTAATGTAAAATGAATATTTACCCTGCTTTGTACTAGACCGACATGCTGAGCTGGATTTTTAACGTGCTAGTTCACAGGGTAACAGTCCGAATATAATAATGCTTAGAATTAATGAAATATAAATGCTTAGATATTGAAAATAGTGTAGAACGCCACATGCGGGGTGTTGGCTAAATATGTTTGACATGAGGTAGCGGTTATGAAGCAGAGAAAAAGCAATCAAGGAAAGTAAAAGTATCAAAATTTCTTTTTTGAGAATTGTTAGCACCAAATACTGTATTGCACTGAAGGAACCGAACCATAATCTATTTCCATCAAGCAGAAACAGACGTTTTCAGTTTTCAGTTTTCTCAAACACCTCTCCCTAGTTTTCTGTGTTGCAAATTTTGAGACTTCATATGCATGATTCAGGATAAAAAAAACTACTTTTGGCAATTTTTTCCCGTATGATTTATAAAGAAACTAATTCCTATCATAGAATTTAACCAAATGCCAGCTTCTTAGTTGAAATTTATTGGTTTTAAAGTAAATTTTCCATTGAAATGTAATGTGTCGCTCGGGGTGTCATATTTTGCATCTCTGAAGGGGGAGGCATTTATTAAAACAAGGATAGATTTGCCGTCAACTCGGTCCTTATCCGATAGCTTGTAATTCAAGCAGAAAAAAAATGAAGGGTCTATGTCCTGATTTTCAAGATGTAAGCCATTTAAAATTTGACAGGAAATGATTCTGTAGATTTTTCATACATTTAACATTGGCACCTTTTTTCTTTTATCAAATGTGTGACATTTTTCAATGCACCCCTCTAGTTTATTATACACAGGCGTATTAAGGAAATGTAGTCCAGCAGAGTTCTCAAAAAGTGGTGGTCCGAAGGTTTTGCCCACCGCCATATTCAAAGGACTGACTAGTTTGTTGTTTTTCAATAGAACATACATATACATGTAATCTATAGTGAGGATCAGCAGATTATCTTCAAGGACTCTCTGATAGAAACCAAACGTAATATGTTGATATTTATGTTTTCATGCAGACAACATTGATTTATTCAAACATTTCTTAGATTTCTGACGTTATTCCCATGACTTTTGTATGTGACCATGTATGTTGAACAAAAAATATTGGACACTGTGACTCTGAAAAGAAACTATCTCTGAACTAAAGATATTTGTAAAACAATTTTTATTGTAATGAGCATGGTCTTGACTAGCATAAAAACTACATATACATTATATTGAGTTATCATATGATTTGTGTATTCCTAGAACAATACATAATTTTACGTATGTATTAATCGGTGTAATTCTGAATTTTACAAGTTGGTTCTACAATATCATTGAAACTATACGATGGTTCACTCGGCATTAAAAGCCACAATAAATCTAAAATTAAAACTATATGGTGGTTCACTCTGCATTAAAAGCCACAATAAATCCATGATTTAAATATATATGTTAAAAGTTTAAAATTTGTATCCCCCCTTTTTACTAGTATGACACATACTGTACAACTAGAATGTACAATTTGTTCCAGAATTTTTTGTTTACCTGGAGTACATTTGTATATAAGAAACACTGTGAAGGCAATGTATATTGAGACTATGAAAAAGGGTAGGTACATGTAACTAAACATGCTATAGAATATTTCGACCTAATTTAAAGGAAACGAAAAAAATATGTCAAGCATTTAATGGCAAAAAAAGTTGTAAATAGTCCTGTTTAAACTAACTTAATTCTTGATATTTTAATGTGGCTCTTTATTCCAGGCTTGTGACTGGCAAGTTGTACTGTATTCATAATAATAAGCACCTTGGTTTTATTTAGAAATAAAAAATGGGGTATCTTGTATCAATGAAAATGATAAAAGACGTAAATATTGGGTCTGCTCTAGATGATTGTAAAGATAATTTTTAAAATAGATTTCCTGCATAATGAGGTTATATTATTTAATCACAAAATTTGTAGGCAAATCTAAGCGTACTATCACGATTGTGGGTGTTATGGTGCATGAAAATTGGTGAATACAGTATTACTTGGCTGCATTACCCACCTCCCTCCTCAATTTTTTTTTTTTTTCATTTTTTTTTTAATTTTCTTTTCTTTTCTTTCTTTCTTTCTTTTCTTTTTTTGAATTTTCTCTCTTTCTTTTTTCTTTTTTGTTTTTTCTTTTCATTTTGTTTTCATTTTTTTTTTCTTTCATTTTTTCTATTCATTACATGTATGTAGACAAGTTTCAAGCACATGCATTATTTTTTTCTTTCTTATATAAATATATATATATATACATGTATGTACAGTCTTCGTAAATATGTAGAAGATTTTGAACAATTGTTTTTAGAATCAGAAATCAGTACTGGTGCCCCAACGTTCCAGTAGTTGTTTTGTTCGTTGATGCAGTGCATTTTTTGTCTTCATTTGGTTGTTTTTTCCAAGCATTTTAAATCCAGCAATCATCTTGGCTCTCTCATACTGTTTCGTAAAAGACCTGTTTCTGGATTTTCCATTGCAAGTCTTCAGTATATTGTAAAACTTTTAACTTCTTCACCGGTTCCCAGAATTGTATCAACCAGTGTTGTTATTTTGTCTGGAAAAAATGATTTATTGATTTATAACATTAAAAAAGACTAATGATTTGTAGATCGAACAGAGGTTTTTTTTTAATATATTTTATAGTTTAATGTTGATTATCTGCATAGGCATGCGCGTAGATACGTTTACGTCGAAACGCCCAGGCGTACACATAAATTTTGAAGAAAAAAATATTTGAACCCAAATAAATTATAAAAACTGATTAAAAGCACACGAGCCTTGTATTTTTTTCTTCAATGACTTGTAATTGGATATAAAAGACAAAGTGACGAAATATACTTTTTAATCAAATGGTATCATATGATTTATTAGATACTTTTATGTCATATACATGTAGCTCTGTAACTGTTTCGGTTCTTATACATCCTCGGCTTCAAAATATTCGGCTTTGATCGTTCCTGATGAAGGTAAATCCAGAAAAGCGCTTCAAACTCATGAAATTAATAATGTGTTGTTTTCATATTTCATATTATATATTTTTTTTCATTTTCTGTCAAAGTCTCATTCTACTGTGAATTCTACTCAGTTTACTATTGTTTAAAGCAATTCATTATCTGGTCAGATACGATGTGGCTTACATTTTTATGTTACAGTTCAATATTTATTTTTACCGTAACACCTGCCCATCTATGAAAATTAATTAGAACATATGTCCATTAACAAAATTTAAGTGTAAAAAGGTGAGTAAACTAGATCTATATTTAAAGGTAAAAAAAATTAATAGAACGACAACATTGAAATGGAGACTTGCCTTTTGACTATCTCTATATTATAAAGTTTTGATTTTTTGTCGATTGATTGTGTACCCCACATCTCCTTTTAAACGAATCAAATTAAAATATATATATCTCTGATTTCGTTATACTCATAAGATATGAGCATGGGAGTAAATATAGATATAAGGTGCTGCTGGAATGTTGCTACATAGAAAAGAAAAGTTCACAATTGGAGGCTGAAATCATCTCCTTTGTCGTAAAGTTTTGTTCTCAACCGACCAAGTATGTTGCTATTGATGAGTTTTTAATGACAGATATTGGTATCTCTTTCTCAATAAACATCCGGGGGTTTCGCCCCCAACTAGGAGGTCCACTGTTCTGGTCCTCAAACCCCTCGATGAGGTCGGGCGTACACTTAAAAATGGCCTAGCTACGCCACTGAAAGGGAATCATTTCTATTGGGATATGACCAAAAGGCTAGTCTAGCTAGTGCATTTTCAGATAGTAGCCTGGGCCTGTATGCATAATTTATAAAGCTACTTAAGTTAAGATTTGTTCAGAATGGACAGATTTTTCTACATGTCCTATAATGAATTAGTACTACGATTGGATTTCTTAAGTGGTTTATGCATACAGGCCCTTGAGACTCAATACCAATTTGACAAAAAAATGTTTGATTTTGTTTTAACATTAATTTTTTTCTCAATAATATTGCTTCATTCCAAACCCAATTCACATGCAGCTGTGCAAATATTTGTGTACATGTACTTTAATATAGGGCACACATGGGCACTGACTAGGATATAATTGGGCTTGCATGTATTTTCTTGCAATCTCTTGAAAAATCATACATAAACATTTAGAATTAGTAGAAATAAGTGATTTTAAATTGAGGTTAAAAGTACCCCCCATCTTTCCTTATAATACATAACACATTAATGGAACAGTAATTTTGCACACTGCTGAAGCATGTTTTGTTTGAAAACTATATACAGATATATATCTACCGGTTTGTGTACACATGTTTATTATGGATTCAGTTTCTTCATGTTCCTGACAATCTTTCAAACTAAAAGGATCCAAAATCTTTATCTGCATAATAAAAAAAAAACCTAAGTCCAAATTAAAATATATGTGTGGTTCCAGTTACATTCTCAAAAAAAGATAGGGTCGGTGTGTTCACGGAGTCCGATTCTGGTATTATACACGCCCCTACCGCAAGTTTGCCATTTTCTATATGTTTGGTTGTGAAATATCACAGACATGTTACATTTTTAGTTAATTTTATTGCATTCTGTTAAGAATTTGTTGCATTTTTAGCCGTAGTGGATACTTTTATTGGAATTTCATATGACAGAAGTCTGTGAATTTAATTATTGAAATTCACATTCCATAAAATAGGATCATTCAAAATTTATTTTACAGAATAATAAAAAAAGTTCTAGGGTGGTTCTGGTAACTGGAACCACATATATATTTTTATTTTGCCTGAATTCAAACGGCAATCATGGCAATTGGTCATATTTTAATGGAGGTAGGTTTTGAAAATTAGTATCAAAATGAAGGCAATAGTGTGTGATTTAAAAAGAATTTTTGTTTCTGTTTGTTAACATATAGGTCATTTTTTATGCCAGTACTGAAGCTGAGGGCATCAACTGTTACCCTAGCTTGTCTGTCTGTATGTGCATCCCAAAAGTGGTTACCGTTTTTAACTTTAGTCTGCCTCGACCAAATGTTTTGAAACTTATACACAATGCTAACTACCACAAAACACTGTTCAGCTTTGAATTTAAATGGCGTCACTCTTAAATATTATATGGACACATTCTCCATTTATTTATCTTATTGCAAATTAGATTATGAAAAAATAACAAGGATTTTATAAGATTTTTAAACTTGGATTTTAAACCATATGTAATAAAATTATGAAAAGATAAGTAGGGGTAAGTGGGCAAAATTGTAATGGCACTTCATGGATAAAACAAGAGGATTCTGAATATCTGACAAAATGTTAAAGATGGTCGCTCTTTTTTTTTTTTGTGTTTACGACACTTAGACAAAGACTATAACCATATATCCCCTGTGGTGCAAAATAGACAAAAAGAACTTCTGACCAATCTCTTAAAACTATTTAGCCTAATGCACATTATATTCCTCTCAATTTTTATTTTTTTAGATGAAAATGAAATTTGTTTTCAACAGAGTAGATACATACTCATTTATGAGAAGTATTAGACCACAAAGTTTTACTCCCCATCCATGAAAACAGTCACTGTAATAACCTAAAAAGGAATTAAAATTGACGCAAATTATATATTTTACAAAGTGTTAAATTGTCGGCCAAAAAATTAGTTTTCTGACTAAAGATTTCGCATAGCATCAAAACCAGTTTAATATCTATAAAACTGGGGAAAAAAAACATGTTTTGATTTTGTTTTAACATTAATTTTTTTTTCAATAATCTATGAGTTATCTCCCATTGAATGACACATTCTTGCTGTTTGTTGTACTAGTCTCCTCCTGAAGGTGAAATCTATCTCAAAATTTACTTTTCAAATGATATATTATCTTATTCATGTTACTGGAAACGAAATATCAAACTGATAAAATAACTTTCTTGGTACTTTGAATGTGGAAAATAAATGTTCTTGGTCGTATTTTCATAAAATTCTATGAAGGTTTGACAAAGTAATTGATAACTAATATTTAAACCTTAAAATTATCTTAGTGAAAACTTTGAAAAAAGTCCATTTATTGCATCTGTTGCAATGAAGGACTGATTTCCAAGTTAAATAAAAATTGATAATTCCCCTTCTCTGATTTTATATACAGCAATAATAACTAAATAACTCATACCCTACACACATTTGTTCCTTCAATTTGAATTTCAAAATTTTGCTGTGGATTCTTCTGATGTACAATTACTTTAAAGTTTGATGAAGATTTTGATGTTTGAAAACTTTTTAACCATAATACTGAACCTAAATTTGGACGCCTAAAACAAAGTAATGTGAATTGCTATGCCTGGCTTTTGCGACAAAATGTCACAGGCAAAATTCAAGTGCATTTACATAATCTTTAATTGACAAGTTTATAAATCTATGCAATGGTTCTTACCTTAAAAGACATCTCCAATGACCATTCTAAACAATCCATACTGACAAGCAGTAACTAATGCTAACCTGAAAGTAAAATGCTTAGTCAATCAAAATTGTTCAAAACAGAGGCTCTTAAGATCCTGTGTCGCTCTTCTTCATCTTCAACAATAAATACTTCCTGGTAAAAATCATCACGAAAGGGCAATAACTCTATAAAGAGTAAACTGACGATTTCAGTCGTGTTGACATATTTGTAGGTCTGGTCCTGTTGATCATTTTTGCTTTACAAAAGGGCAATAACTCTATAAAGAGTAAACTGACGACTTCAGTCATGTTGACATATTTGTAGATCTTGTTCTACTTTTTTCAAGATAAAAGGCAAAAACTAAAAAAAATGTGGTAAAAAAACAGCAAAAACTCCAAGAACAGGTCGACTTAAGATTTAATCCAAGGCAGCTTTTTTGTAAATCTTGACTTGCTGATCAATGGTAAAAATCGTCATTGAAGATCAATAACTCCAATAACTAGTCCTCAGAAGATTTCAGTCATTTGACTTTTGTGCATATCTTGTCTTGCTTTTTTTTGTATTAAAATTTCTCTCCATCTATTTTTATTTTCAAAATAATGAATAAAAATGAAAAAAAATGGTAAAACTTCACATTTAAGGGCAATAACTCCTTTAAGAATGTCTGACAGTTTTGACGTAATTGTACAGCAGGTAGATCTCAACATTCTGAACATTTCTTCATTTTCGTGGATTGAGGAACAATTGTATTTTTGTGGGTTTTGATTAAGTTGGCATACAAGTCTATAGAAAATTTGTACTACATTGAACATTTATATATGTTGGTCACTTATATATCCACGAAAATTGGTATCCAAAGAATGATAATAAATCCAGAGTATATGGAAATAGGTTATATATGACATAAACTGTTAACACAGATATGTCTCGTCTATTTGTTATTTTGATAATGCAAATGATGAAATTAAAATAGCAATACATTAACATGTAAGTTATGCAAATATTCAAAGTTAATGAACCATGACTGAAGGTACAGGGCTAAACAATCTCCATGGAATTGAGATGTGCCAATGTTAATACAAATGCAAACCAAATACCATTGACTTTTCATAAGTTGTTCCCTTTAAACAAACCTAATCACAAACATTAACTTGTTAACTATGTAAATGTTTCAAAGTCAATGAACCATAATTAGGGGGTGGGGTTATATAATCTCCATGGAAATGAAACTTGCAAATGCCAATACATTTGCATACCGAATATCATTGACTAACATAAGTGGTTAATCTTAAACTGACCTAATCACAAACTAATACATGTAAACTAAGCAAAAGTTTTAAAGTCAATAGACCATGACTGAGGGGTAGGTTCCAAATATTGTCCATGGAAATGAGATATGCCAATGCTTATACAACTGCATACCAAATATCATTGACCTACCACTAGTGGTTCCCCATAAACTGACCTAATTACAAACTTATACATGCAAACTAAGCAAAGTTTCAAAGTCAATAGACCTTGACTGAGGAGTGGGGCCAAATAATCTCCATGGTAATGAGATGTGCCAATGCTAATACAACTGCATACCAAATATCATTGACCTACCACAAGTGGTTCACCATGAACTAGACCTAATCACAAACTAATACATTGTTGACCCTGTCGCCGCCGGAAACAGCATACCTATGTCTCGCTTTTTCACTCTGTCAAGGCGCAACAAAAATGAGTAACAGAAGATGTGTTGTATACATCAATGTGACAACATCTCAACAACACAAAAATAAGACATCCACAGAATTAATTAAAATCTTTAAAACATTCGGTCAAATTTTGGTACTGATATGAAAAAAACAAAATTCTGACCTCTTACATCTTCAAGCATAGAGCATATTTTATTTCCTATAAACTTATTTTATGATGAATAAAACTTGTTTAAATAGAGGAATTATATACCTACTTAAATACTAGAAATATTATACCACCAAGTCTTACTCCCATCCATGAAAACACTGAAATCACCTAGAAAGGAATTAAAATTGACATAAATTATACATTTTACAAATCTTGTTGAAATTGCCAGCCTAAAATTTTCAATGAGTAATCTCCCAATGAATGAAACAGTCTTGCCGTATGTTGTACTAGTCTCCCCTTGAAGGAAAAATTCTCTCTGAATTTTACTTTTCGTGATTTAAAAGCTTTATTCGTGTTCCTGGAAACAATATATTGAATTGATAAATTCTTTTTTTTTTTGTGTGTTGTAAATGTGGAAAATAAGAAAACGGTTGTTGCCTTCTGTACTTTTATCACATATTTTTAGAGAATATACAGAAATTGTATTGCCTAATTGTACTTACATTATTTCTTTAATGGCCACACATCAGACTTGGAAGATTATCAATGTAATAATCTTTCTTGGAGCTGCTGTCCTTGCTTCTTTATTTTTTTCATGGCAGACTCGCAGAGCCTCAAAGTTAGTTGAAGATCTATGTTACCATCTTCCTTGGAACTACTAACCCTGCTCAGCTGCTTTATTTTTTTTTCACTCTGCATGTAGATGGAAATCAGATAGTTATTGTATATATGTACCAGTCAGAAATAACCTAAAAAGGAATTAAAATTGACATAAATTATAAATTTTACAAATCTTGTTGAAATTGCCACTTTTTTGCCAGTCTAAAATTTTCAATGAGTCATCTCCCAATGAATGAAACAGTCTTGCCATTTGTTGTACTAGTCTACCCTTGAAGGAAAAATTCTCTCTGAATTTTACTTTTCGTGATTTAAAAGCCTTATTCATGTTCCTGGAAACCATATATTGAATTGATAAATTCTTTTTTTTTTGGGGTTGTAAATGTGAAAAATAAGAAAACGGTTGTTGCCTTCTGTACTTTTATCACATATTTTTAGAGAATATACAGAAATTGTATTGCCTAATTGTACTTACATTATTTCTTTAATGGCCACACATCAGACTTGAAAGATTATCAATGTAATAATCTTCCTTGGAGCTGCTGTCCTTGCTTCTTTATTTTTTTCATGGCAGACTCGCAGAGCCTCAAAGTTATTTGAAGATCTATGTTACCATTTTCCTTGGAACTACTATCCCTCCTGCTGTTTTTTTTTTTCAATCTGCATGTAGATGGAAATCAGATAGTTATTGTATATATGTACCACTCAGAAATAACCTAAAAAGGAATTAAAATTGACATAAATTATACATTTTACAAATCTTGTTGAAATTGCCAGCCTATAATTTTCAATGAGTAATCTCCCAATGAATGAAACAGTCTTGCCGTGTGTTGTACTAGTCTCCCCTTGAAGGAAAAATTCTCTCTGAATTTTACTTTTCGTGATTTAAAAGCTTTATTCGTGTTCCTGGAAACAATATATTGAATTGATAAATTTTTTTTTTTTTTTTTGTGTGTTGTAAATATGGAAAATAAGAAAACGGTTGTTGCCTTCTGTACTTTTATCACATATTTTTAGAGAATATACAGAAATTGTATGCCTAATTGTACTTACATTATTTCTTTAATGGCCACACATCAGACTTGGAAGATTATCAATGTAATAATCTTCCTTGGAGCTGCTGTCCTTGCTTCTTTATTTTTTTCATGGCAGACTCGCAGAGCCTCAAAGTTAGTTGAAGATCTATGTTACCATCTTCCTTGGAACTACTATCCCTGCTCAGCTGCTTTATTTTTTTTTCACTCTGCATGTAGATGGAAATCAGATAGTTATTGTATATATGTACCACTCAAAAATAACCTAAAAAGGAATTAAAATTGACATAAATTATAAATTTTACAAATCTTGTTGAAATTGCCACTTTTTTGCCAGTCTAAAATTTTCAATGAGTCATCTCCCAATGAATGAAACAGTCTTGCCATTTGTTGTACTAGTCTACCCTTGAAGGAAAAATTCTCTCTGAATTTTACTTTTCGTGATTTGAAAGCCTTATTTATGTTCCTGGAAACCATATATTGAATTGATAAATTCTTTTTTTTTTTGGGGTTGTAAATGTGAAAAATAAGAAAACGGTTGTTGCCTTCTGTACTTTTATCACATATTTTTAGAGAATATACAGAAATTGTATTGCCTAATTGTACTTACATTATTTCTTTAATGGCCACACATCAGACTTGGAAGATTATCAATGTAATAATCTTCCTTGGAGCTGCTGTCCTTGCTTCTTTATTTTTCTCATGGCAGGCTCGCAGAGCCTCAAAGTTATTTGAAGATCTATGTTACCATCTTCCTTGGAACTACTATCCCTCCTGCTGTTTTTTTTTTTCAATCTGCATGTAGATGGAAATCAGATAGTTATTGTATATATGTACCACTCAGAAATAACCTAAAAAGGAATTAAAATTGACATAAATTATACATTTTACAAATCTTGTTGAAATTGCCAGCCTAAAATTTTCAATGAGTAATCTCCCAATGAATGAAACAGTCTTGCCGTTTGTTGTACTAGTCTCCCCTTGAAGGAAAAATTCTCTCTGAATTTTACTTTTCGTGATTTAAAAGCTTTATTCGTGTTCCTGGAAACAATATATTGAATTGATAAATTCTTTTTTTTTTTTTGGGTGTTGTAAATATGTGAAAAATAAGAAAACGGTTGTTGCCTTCTGTACTTTTATCACATATTTTTAGAGAATATACAGAAATTGTATTGCCTAATTGTACTTACATTATTTCTTTAATGGCCACACATCAGACTTGGAAGATTATCAATGTAATAATCTTTCTTGGAGCTGCTGTCCTTGCTTCTTTATTTTTTTCATGGCAGACTCGCAGAGCCTCAAAGTTAGTTGAAGATCTATGTTACCATCTTCCTTGGAACTACTATCCCTGCTCAGCTGCTTTATTTTTTTTTCACTCTGCATGTAGATGGAAATCAGATAGTTATTGTATATATGTACCACTCAGAAATAACCTAAAAAGGAATTAAAATTGACATAAATTATACATTTTACAAATCTTGTTGAAATTGCCAGCCTAAAATTTTCAATGAGTAATCTCCCAATGAATGAAACAGTCTTGCCGTTTGTTGTACTAGTCTCCCCTTGAAGGAAAAATTCTCTCTGAATTTTACTTTTCATGATTTAAAAGCTTTATTCGTGTTCCTGGAAACAATATATTGAATTGATAAATTCTTTTTTTTTTGTGTGTTGTAAATGTAGAAAATAAGAAAACGGTTGTTGCCTTCTGTACTTTTATCACATATTTTTAGAGAATATACAGAAATTGTATTGCCTAATTGTACTTACATTATTTCTTTAATGGCCACACATCAGACTTTGAAGATGATCAATGTAATAATCTTCCTTGGAGCTGTTGTCCTTGCTTCTTTATTTTTTTAATGGCAGAGCCTCAGAGTTAGTTGAAGATCTATGTTACCATCTTCCTTGGAACTGCTATTCCTGAAGCTTTATTTTGTTTTTTCACTCTGCATGTAGATGGAAATCAGATAGTTATTGTATATATGTACCACTCAGAAACGTGTCTGATTCCCCCAAACGTGTCCATATGACGTCAATGAACTGCAAAATATGACTTGTTGCTTAAGGGCATCAAAACGTGTTCTGTTTATGAACGCACAAACATATCCAGTCTATATGGAACCAAAGGGTTCTTTTAAAAAGCCCATAAACAACTTCTGCAGGAAGCCTGTCGTGCAATACCCTCATACATTATAAAGATATTTAGGCATCATCAGAGTATATTAGTACAAAATAATTCACTAAGTAAACGATGATCTACACTGTACAAAACTAGTTAATTGCATTTTCTGTGTAATTGTTTGCTCTAAATATGCTTGAAATATTTGCCACTGGCATTAAGCAATCAACGGTCAATAGTTAAATTAAGCTTGCAATAATGCTTAATATAAACAACCGGCGTTGAACAAATTAATGCTAATAAATGACTGACTGTATTAACAGTGAAGCACTGGGAAAACATGCAATATAAATTGTATTAGATTTCTTAATTATGAAGTACCTCCAACTGTAATTTAAAACAATGACAATTCTATTGGTAAAAAATTAATAAACCACTGTAAGTAAAAATAGCTTATTTTGTCATCCTTTTTCTTACACTGTGTCTGTTTATTTGAAAGCAGAAGTCCCAGTGCACATTGTACCATATCTTGGATATTTCTCTATGCGGATTACTATATCTTTCCTCCAGATATCCTTAGATAGCTGCTTCGATTTATTTTTAAAATCCAACCCAAACCCGACGTCTTCTATCGTGTCCCCATCATTGTATAGCCGTAAACTTCACAAGAGACATATAAGCGCTAAAAGTTTTGAGATGTTCTGGCGCTTTAAACTGGACACGTTTTGGGTAATAACAATTATTGGACAAGTTTGGGGGAGTGAAATCAGTCACGTTTGGGCAATTTAAGATTCTAAGGACACGTTTGGGGGAATCGGACATGTTTAGGGGGATGGAAACGTTTGGAAGTGTTGCATATATATCATGATTTCTTCAACTACTTTTAAATATGTTCACCAAAGTTCAACTGAATCTTGAACAGTTTGTACATTTACAATTTAACTTTTTTAAATATTACTTTTGCACATATGCAGTTTTAGTTGTTAATTCTACAGGTCTTTGAAGCATTTCATATTAGTGTTGATATATCAAAGGACAGATGGGCATCTCACATCATCCTGTGGGCTCTCAGTTAATTCTCATCTGAGTTTTTGGACATTTAAGAAATTTTATTGTCAGGAGTTAGAAACCAAATTATTTTTATTCCCCCAAGTATTCTGTTGTCTGGTCACTATCTTCAGTTCCAACTTGTTTGGCTGCCATATCTAAAGCTATAGGGAGCCATGCTGTGTTCCTTTGAATTGAAAGGTTTTGTCACGGTCTTTGAAGTTTGCTCCTTATGAATGGCTAATAAACTTTTAGGCCACAAACAGTCAAAATTATTACACAGATGAGACGACTCAAAAAAAAAACCCCAAAATAATCAACTTTTGCGACAAATTGCACAGACTGTAAGCTTACATGATTTTACTTCTTTCAGTCTTTCTTACATCACAGAGTACTAGAATGTCTTACCACAGAGTAGGTTACCTATCGAACAGTTCTATACTCTCTAGTCAATTCGGTAACATGAAAATAGATTATAACAATACATTTTTATTAAAGAATGTATCATTAGAATATTAATTTGAAAGCTATAAATATTACAGTTGTGATTAAAAAACCAAGCAATTTTCCCAGGGGAAACTGATTTTATTATTACCTAACAAGGTTTAACCTAACTCATCTTCATCTTCTATGTACAATGGAACCATCTTCAAGCTGTACCACTGAAACTTCTAAGGCCTGCATTTGTAACAAAAACAAAAATTATAAAAGAGCGATGTGTTGGATAACTTCTGGCACAAATAATTTACCGTTAATTCAGAAACACTAGTGCGAGGTTTTATTAATCTGAATAATGCGACAGGTTGAGTATTGCAATAATAAGAAACTCCAATTCCTATATCTGTATAAAAACTTTCCTGAAATTCAATAAAATAATCTTACTTTTAGTCCATAATGTAAAAATCGCAATAATAAAAGCACACAATAATTTCTGAATTTACAGAGTTTGCTTTGGTAAGAGAAACACAAAAGTATGTATTTGATTTTATTACCTTACAACTATTAACAGTTTAAGTACAATTGTAACGACAAAATACATACATCATCATCTAGGTATCTACAATTAATCATCTCCAGGTCTAGGACTGTACTTTCGTGGTCTTCTCTCTGGGCTCGTTCGCTAAAAAAATAAATAAAAAAATAATAAAAATAATAAAAATAAAAATAAAACAAATCCTCTTTTAATTCAGCAACACTATGCTAACACTATAAATCAAAGCCAATTATTCAGATTCAGATTCAGATTTTTCAACTGTCTATACTGATGGATCAAAAGATGGTGACAGAGTTGCATCCGCTGCTGTCTTCAGGGACAGAGCTGCAACTCTCCGTTTGCCGTCTGATGCATCGATCTTTACTGCTGAAACAGAAGCAATAATTTTGGCTTTGAAATTTATTGCTTCTTCAGATAAATCAAAATTTATTATATTTATTATATGTTCTGATTCACTTTCATGCTTACAAGCTATACAAAATACTAAAATTAAAACCCAGTAATTCTCAAAATTTTATATGTAATGAGGAATTTAAAAATTCTTCGTAAAGAAATATTATTTCTATGGGTGCTGAGTCATGTTGGAATCCTTGGAAACACAGCTGTAGACCTTGAGGCAAAGAATGCCCTGGGTGACCCTTTATCTAACTGTGATATATCATATACCGATTTTAAATCTAATATTAGAGAATATGTTTTTAATATATTGAAAAATGAATGGAGTAAAAAAGATGATAATAAATTACATGAAATTAAACCTAATTTAGGTAAACCTTTCAATAATGTTATGTGCAGAAAAGATCAGTGTGTTATTTCTAGATGTCATATTGGTCATACTAGAATAATACACGAATATCTTTTAAAAAATGAAGTAGAACCACAATGTATACCTTGTAACTGCAAGTATACTATAAAACATGTTTTAATCAATTGTATTGACTTTGCTGATATTCGTAAGAAGCATTTCAATGTTAATAATATGTATGATTTATTTAATAATGTTCCATTTACAAATATTGTTTCATTCTTAAAAGAAGTTGGAATATATTCTAAAATATAAAAATGTTATTATATTTAAAACGATTTTAAATTTTATCACGTTATCTTAATGTTCATTTTTATTTGTAAATAATCAAGTTCCTTTAATCTAGAATTTTAGTTTATTGAAGGGCCTTTTGTCTGATTTTAAGAATATGCTTTAAATTGTAAAAAATATTCGAATTAGTTCTCGCCGCGATATAGCCTTGTTGTGCTAATGCGGCGTAAAGCAACCAACAATCAATCAATCAATCAAATTATTTTAATATCTATCAGACAACTATTAATAAATAAAAAAAAAAATATACTCACTTTCCGATGCATATGTTACCTGTCCTGATGTAAATATCCTGGGGCTGGTATCTGAAACAAAAACAAAATAAGTTCAAAAATATTGAACCAAATATAAAACTTAAAAAATTTGCTACTTTAATTTTTTTTTCTTTAAAAATATCTATAAAGAAAAACTGGCATTAATGGCAGCCATCATCATTGGTCAATTGCTCTTTTTGACTGTATATCATTAACTTATTTTCATTTTAAATCTATATTTCAAACAGTAATGAAGACGGTTTAATGATATAATCATTATTTCCTAAATTAATGTGCGTGTCAAATTATCAGAACTTGGTGGCTAACCAAAACAATCTGATGTATACATTTTGAACAGAAATGATTAACATTCAACTGAATTTCAAACAATCTAAATCAAGTCATATTTTCCTAATTACTTTTTAAAAAATCAACTAAATATGTAGATAAACAAATTGACAATCAGAAACTTTACTTTCGTTCAGGTGAGACTATTAGAAAAAGGGTTTCCAAATTGTCAATGTTAAGAGACTATTTGCTGTTATAAATAATTCAGAAATTAATGTGATGCATGTTTTAATTCAAATCCTAAATTGAAGTACAAGTATACTTTTTCATTCGAGTATAAATTTGAAAAAGAAATTTTGGACTAATTTGTAATAAATTTTCAAGCTGTTTCTCCAGGGAAAACTGATTTTATTACCTTACAACTATTAACAGTTTAAGTACAATTGTAACGACAAAATACATACATCATCATCTAGGTATCTACAATTAATCATGTCCAGGTCTTAAGGACTGTACTTTCGTCGTCTTCTCTCTGAGCTCCCGTCTATCTGTAATACATATTCAAATTATTTTAATATCTATCAGACAACTATTAATAAATAAAAAAAAAAATATACTCACTTTCCGGTGCATATGTTACCTGTCCTGATGTAAATATCCTGGGGCTGGTATCTGAAACAAAAACAAAATAAGTTCAAAAATATTGAACCAAATATAAAACTTAAAAAATTTGCTACTATAATTTTTTTTTCTTTCAAAATATCTATAAAGAAAAACTGGCATTAATGGCAGCCATCATCATTGGTCAATTGCTCTTTTTGACTGTATATCATTAACTTATTTTCATTTTAAATCTATATTTCAAACAGTAATGAAGACGGTTTAATGATATAATCATTATTTCCTAAATTAATGTGTGTGTCAAATTATCAGAAATTGGTGGCTAACCAAAACAATCTGATGTATACATTTTGAACAGAAATGATTAAAATTCAACTGAATTTCAAACAATCTAAATCAAGTCATATTTTCCAAATTACTTTTTAAAAAATCGACTAAATATGTAGATAAACAAATTGACAATCAGAAACTTTACTTTCGTTCAGGTGAGACTATAAGAGAAAGGGTTTCCAAATTGTCAATGTTAAGAGACAATTTGCTGTTATAAATAATTCAGAAATTAATGTGATGCATGTTTTAATTCAAATCCTAAATTGAAGTACAAGTATACTTTTTCATTCGAGTATAAATTTGAAAAAGAAATTTTGGACTAATTTGTAATAAATTTTCAAGCTGTTTCTCCAGGGAAAACTGATTTTATTACCTTACAACTATTAACAGTTTAAGTACAATTGTAACGACAAAATACATACATCATCATCTAGGCATCTACAATTAATCATGTCCAGGTCTTAAGGACTGTACTTTCGTCGTCTTCTCTCTGAGCTCCCGTCTATCTGTAATACATATTCAAATTATTTTAATATCTATCAGACAACTATTAATAAATAAAAAAAAAAATATACTCACTTTCCGGTGCATATGTTACCTGTCCTGATGTAAATATCCTGGGGCTGGTATCTGAAACAAAAACAAAATAAGTTCAAAAATATTGAACCAAATATAAAACTTAAAAAATTTGCTACTATAATTTTTTTTTCTTTCAAAATATCTATAAAGAAAAACTGGCATTAATGGCAGCCATCATCATTGGTCAATTGCTCTTTTTGACTGTATATCATTAACTTATTTTCATTTTAAATCTATATTTCAAACAGTAATGAAGACGGTTTAATGATATAATCATTATTTCCTAAATTAATGTGCGTGTCAAATTATCAGAACTTGGTAGCTAACCAAAACAATCTGATGTATACATTTTGAACAGAAATGATTAAAATTCAACTGAATTTCAAACAATCTAAATCAAGTCATATTTTCCTAATTACTTTTTAAAAAATCGACTAAATATGTAGATAAACAGATTGACAATCAGAAACTTTACTTTCGTTCAGGTGAGACTATTAGAGAAAGGGTTTCCAAATTGTCAATGTTAAGAGACTATTTGCTGTTATAAATAATTCAGAAATTAATGTGATGCATGTTTAAATTCAAATCCTAAATTGAAGTACAAGTATACTTTTTCATTCGAGTATAAATTTGAAAAAGAAATTTTGGACTAATTTGTAATAAATTTTCAAGCTGTTTCTCCAGGGAAAACTGATTTTATTACCTTACAACTATTAACAGTTTAAGTACAATTGTAACGACAAAATACATACATCATCATCTAGGTATCTACAATTAATCATGTCCAGGTCTTAAGGACTGTACTTTCGTCGTCTTCTCTCTGAGCTCCCGTCTATCTGTAATACATATTCAAATTATTTTAATATCTATCAGACAACTATTAATAAATAAAAAAAAAAATATACTCACTTTCCGGTGCATATGTTACCTGTCCTGATGTAAATATCCTGGGGCTGGTATCTGAAACAAAAACAAAATAAGTTCAAAAATATTGAACCAAATATAAAACTTAAAAAATTTGCTACTATAATTTTTTTTTCTTTCAAAATATCTATAAAGAAAAACTGGCATTAATGGCAGCCATCATCATTGGTCAATTGCTCTTTTTGACTGTATATCATTAACTTATTTTCATTTTAAATCTATATTTCAAACAGTAATGAAGACGGTTTAATGATATAATCATTATTTCCTAAATTAATGTGCGTGTCAAATTATCAGAAATTGGTGGCTAACCAAAACAATCTGATGTATACATTTTGAACAGAAATGATTAAAATTCAACTGAATTTCAAACAATCTAAATCAAGTCATATTTTCCAAATTACTTTTTAAAAAATCGACTAAATATGTAGATAAACAAATTGACAATCAGAAACTTTACTTTCGTTCAGGTGAGACTATTAGAGAAAGGGTTTCCAAATTGTCAATGTTAAGAGACAATTTGCTGTTATAAATAATTCAGAAATTAATGTGATGCATGTTTTAATTCAAATCCTAAATTGAAGTACAAGTATACTTTTTCATTCGAGTATAAATTTGAAAAAGAAATTTTGGACTAATTTGTAATAAATTTTCAAGCTGTTTCTCCAGGGAAAACTGATTTTATTACCTTACAACTATTAACAGTTTAAGTACAATTGTAACGACAAAATACATACATCATCATCTAGGCATCTACAATTAATCATGTCCAGGTCTTAAGGACTGTACTTTCGTCGTCTTCTCTCTGAGCTCCCGTCTATCTGTAATACATATTCAAATTATTTTAATATCTATCGGACAACTATTAATAAATAAAAAAAAAAATATACTCACTTTCCGATGCATATGTTACCTGTCCTGATGTAAATATCCTGGGGCTGGTATCTGAAACAAAAACAAAATAAGTTCAAAAATATTGAACCAAATATAAAACTTAAAAAATTTGCTACTTTAATTTTTTTTTCTTTCAAAATATCTATAAAGAAAAACTGGCATTAATGGCAGCCATCATCATTGGTCAATTGCTCTTTTTGACTGTATATCATTAACTTATTTTCATTTTAAATCTATATTTCAAACAGTAATGAAGACGGTTTAATGATATAATCATTATTTCCTAAATTAATGTGCATGTCAAATTATCAGAACTTGGTGGCTAACCAAAACAATCTGATGTATACATTTTGAACAGAAATGATTAAAATTCAACTGAATTTCAAACAATCTAAATCAAGTCATATTTTCCAAATTACTTTTTAAAAAATCGACTAAATATGTAGATAAACAAATTGACAATCAGAAACTTTACTTTCGTTCAGGTGAGACTATTAGAGAAAGGGTTTCCAAATTGTCAATGTTAAGAGACTATTTGCTGTTATAAATAATTCAGAAATTAATGTGATGCATGTTTTAATTCAAATCCTAAATTGAAGTACAAGTATACTTTTTCATTCGAGTATAAATTTGAAAAAGAAATTTTGGACTAATTTGTAATAAATTTTCAAGCTGTTTCTCCAGGGAAAACTGATTTTATTACCTTACAACTATTAACAGTTTAAGTACAATTGTAACGACAAAATACATACATCATCATCTAAGCATCTACAATTAATCATGTCCAGGTCTTAAGGACTGTACTTTCGTCGTCTTCTCTCTGAGCTCCCGTCTATCTGTAATACATATTCAAATTATTTTAATATCTATCAGACAACTATTAATAAATAAAAAAAAAATATACTCACTTTCCGATGCATATGTTACCTGTCCTGATGTAAATATCCTGGGGCTGGTATCTGAAACAAAAACAAAATAAGTTCAAAAATATTGAACCAAATATAAAACTTAAAAAATTTGCTACTTTAATTTTTTTTTCTTTCAAAATATCTATAAAGAAAAACTGGCATTAATGGCAGCCATCATCATTGGTCAATTGCTCTTTTTGACTGTATATCATTAACTTATTTTCATTTTAAATCTATATTTCAAACAGTAATGAAGACGGTTTAATGATATAATCATTATTTCCTAAATTAATGTGCGTGTCAAATTATCAGAACTTGGTGGCTAACCAAAACAATCTGATGTATACATTTTGAACAAAAATGATTAAAATTCAACTGAATTTCAAACAATCTAAATCAAGTCATATTTTCCTAATTACTTTTTAAAAAATCGACTAAATATGTAGATAAACAGATTGACAATCAGAAACTTTACTTTCGTTCAGGTGAGACTATTAGAAAAAGGGTTTCCAAATTGTCAATGTTAAGAGACTATTTGCTGTTATAAATAATTCAGAAATTAATGTGATGCATGTTTAAATTCAAATCCTAAATTGAAGTACAAGTATACTTTTTCATTCGAGTATAAATTTGAAAAAGAAATTTTGGACTAATTTGTAATAAATTTTCAAGCTGTTTCTCCAGGGAAAACTGATTTTATTACCTTACAACTATTAACAGTTTAAGTACAATTGTAACGACAAAATACATACATCATCATCTAGGCATCTACAATTAATCATGTCCAGGTCTTAAGGACTGTACTTTCGTCGTCTTCTCTCTGAGCTCCCGTCTATCTGTAATACATATTCAAATTATTTTAATATCTATCAGACAACTATTAATAAATAAAAAAAAAAATATACTCACTTTCCGGTGCATATGTTACCTGTCCTGATGTAAATATCCTGGGGCTGGTATCTGAAACAAAAACAAAATAAGTTCAAAAATATTGAACCAAATATAAAACTTAAAAAATTTGCTACTTTAATTTTTTTTTCTTTCAAAATATCTATAAAGAAAAACTGGCATTAATGGCAGCCATCATCATTGGTCAATTGCTCTTTTTGACTGTATATCATTAACTTATTTTCATTTTAAATCTATATTTCAAACAGTAATGAAGACGGTTTAATGATATAATCATTATTTCCTAAATTAATGTGCGTGTCAAATTATCAGAAGTTGGTGGCTAACCAAAACAATCTGATGTATACATTTTGAACAGAAATGATTAAAATTCAACTGAATTTCAAACAATCTAAATCAAGTCATATTTTCCAAATTACTTTTTAAAAAATCGACTAAATATGTAGATAAACAAATTGACAATCAGAAACTTTACTTTCGTTCAGGTGAGACTATTAGAGAAAGGGTTTCCAAATTGTCAATGTTAAGAGACAATTTGCTGTTATAAATAATTCAGAAATTAATGTGATGCATGTTTTAATTCAAATCCTAAATTGAAGTACAAGTATACTTTTTCATTCGAGTATAAATTTGAAAAAGAAATTTTGGACTAATTTGTAATAAATTTTCAAGCTGTTTCTCCAGGGAAAACTGATTTTATTACCTTACAACTATTAACAGTTTAAGTACAATTGTAACGACAAAATACATACATCATCATCTAGGCATCTACAATTAATCATGTCCAGGTCTTAAGGACTGTACTTTCGTCGTCTTCTCTCTGAGCTCCCGTCTATCTGTAATACATATTCAAATTATTTTAATATCTATCAGACAACTATTAATAAATAAAAAAAAAAATATACTCACTTTCCGATGCATATGTTACCTGTCCTGATGTAAATATCCTGGGGCTGGTATCTGAAACAAAAACAAAAAAAGTTCAAAAATATTGAACCAAATATAAAACTTAAAAAATTTGCTACTTTAATTTTTTTTTCTTTCAAAATATCTATAAAGAAAAACTGGCATTAATGGCAGCAATCATCATTGGTCAATTGCTCTTTTTGACTGTATATCATTAACTTATTTTCATTTTAAATCTATATTTCAAACAGTAATGAAGACGGTTTAATGATATAATCATTATTTCCTAAATTAATGTGCGTGTCAAATTATCAGAACTTGGTGGCTAACCAAAACAATCTGATGTATACATTTTGAACAGAAATGATTAAAATTCAACTGAATTTCAAACAATCTAAATCAAGTCATATTTTCCAAATTACTTTTTAAAAAATCGACTAAATATGTAGATAAACAAATTGACAATCAGAAACTTTACTTTCGTTCAGGTGAGACTATTAGAGAAAGGGTTTCCAAATTGTCAATGTTAAGAGACTATTTGCTGTTATAAATAATTCAGAAATTAATGTGATGCATGTTTTAATTCAAATCCTAAATTGAAGTACAAGTATACTTTTTTCATTCGAGTATAAATTTGAAAAAAGAAATTTTGGACTAATTTGTAATAAATTTTCAAGCTGTTTCTCCAGGGAAAACTGATTTTATTACCTTACAACTATTAACAGTTTAAGTACAATTGTAACGACAAAATACATACATCATCATCTAGGCATCTACAATTAATCATGTCCAGGTCTTAAGGACTGTACTTTCGTCGTCTTCTCTCTGAGCTCCCGTCTATCTGTAATACATATTCAAATTATTTTAATATCTATCAGACAACTATTAATAAATAAAAAAAAAAATATACTCACTTTCCGATGCATATGTTACCTGTCCTGATGTAAATATCCTGGGGCTGGTATCTGAAACAAAAACAAAATAAGTTCAAAAATATTGAACCAAATATAAAACTTAAAAAATTTGCTACTTTAATTTTTTTTTCTTTCAAAATATCTATAAAGAAAAACTGGCATTAATGGCAGCCATCATCATTGGTCAATTGCTCTTTTTGACTGTATATCATTAACTTATTTTCATTTTAAATCTATATTTCAAACAGTAATGAAGACGGTTTAATGATATAATCATTATTTCCTAAATTAATGTGCGTGTCAAATTATCAGAACTTGGTGGCTAACCAAAACAATCTGATGTATACATTTTGAACAGAAATGATTAAAATTCAACTGAATTTCAAACAATCTAAATCAAGTCATATTTTCCTAATTACTTTTTAAAAAATCGACTAAATATGTAGATAAACAAATTGACAATCAGAAACTTTACTTTCGTTCAGGTGAGACTATTAGAAAAAGGGTTTCCAAATTGTCAATGTTAAGAGACTATTTGCTGTTATAAATAATTCAGAAATTAATGTGATGCATGTTTTAATTCAAATCCTAAATTGAAGTACAAGTATACTTTTTCATTCGAGTATAAATTTGAAAAAGAAATTTTGGACTAATTTGTAATAAATTTTCAAGCTGTTTCTCCAGGGAAAACTGATTTTATTACCTTACAACTATTAACAGTTTAAGTACAATTGTAACGACAAAATACATACATCATCATCTAGGCATCTACAATTAATCATGTCCAGGTCTTAAGGACTGTACTTTCGTCGTCTTCTCTCTGAGCTCCCGTCTATCTGTAATACATATTCAAATTATTTTAATATCTATCAGACAACTATTAATAAATAAAAAAAAAAATATACTCACTTTCCGATGCATATGTTACCTGTCCTGATGTAAATATCCTGGGGCTGGTATCTGAAACAAAAACAAAAAAAGTTCAAAAATATTGAACCAAATATAAAACTTAAAAAATTTGCTACTTTAATTTTTTTTTCTTTCAAAATATCTATAAAGAAAAACTGGCATTAATGGCAGCAATCATCATTGGTCAATTGCTCTTTTTGACTGTATATCATTAACTTATTTTCATTTTAAATCTATATTTCAAACAGTAATGAAGACGGTTTAATGATATAATCATTATTTCCTAAATTAATGTGCGTGTCAAATTATCAGAAGTTGGTGGCTAACCAAAACAATCTGATGTATACATTTTGAACAGAAATGATTAAAATTCAACTGAATTTCAAACAATCTAAATCAAGTCATATTTTCCAAATTACTTTTAAAAATAGACTAAATATGTAGATAAACAAATTGACAATCAGAAACTTTACTTTCGTTCAGGTGAGACTATTAGAGAAAGGGTTTCCAAATTGTCAATGTT